TCCTTGTTGTTGTCATTTTGTGTAACCACAATTGTCAAAATTCGAAACTATTTTAGATGCGTATAATTCTTTTTAAAAATAAACACTTTCTACTGTCCTTACTTCAATGGAAAAATTAATGGGAGGGCCTTATATAGAAAGTGTTTATTTTTAAAAAAAAAACATACACGTCCATAATAGTTTTGAATTTTGATAACAGGTGGCACGCTAATACATCATAAAACATTATTGTGTTCGTTTCCTTGGCCACCATCATAGGTAGACAGTTTGTAGATGAAATTTATCCGTTGCTAGAGTAGCCATGTACCATATCTCCGTTTATACACAACCGACCATAAAGTACCTCTTACTTCCTTGGATTTTTAATTCTGATTTCTTTTAATGGAAGAGCAAGAATTCCTATATCGTGTGTTTGACTTCTTTAGGACGTAACGAGAAGACACAACATTCAAGATTTGTAGATCTTCAAATAAAAGACACTTCGGCCACTCAAAAACGAGGATAAAAGATTTTTGTCGAAACGTCGAAACAATAAAAAGATTTACTGGCCGAAGTGTCTTTAATTTGAAGAACTATGAATGCCGGCCAGGCAGCCTCTATCTTTACAATTTGTAGATGTGTTAAAGAGAAGAAACCAAGACAACACCAAGTCACCAGACTATGGTTTGATCAGCTTGGAGAAGCCTGGTTGAGGAGGTACACCTGTCTTGGGAGATTGATTCACCTGGCATACTCAATAGATAGATGTTTATCTAGTTCTCAAAAATCAAAATATCAACGAATAATAAAATGATTGTATTGAAAATATATCATTTATAACTCTGATTAAATTTGACAAAACTGCTGTGAGGGTTCTCCACTGATGAGCCAAGCCCTCCCAATATTAATAATGTAATAATGAATGTATAAGTTTGGTTTATTCGTATTTAAAAAAGAAATATTTGTAATTTATTGTTCTTTTTTTTTGTTTCTTATGTATTGATGTCGCGATATTGTCTTGTTGTGTTTTATTTATGATTATAACATTATACAATAGAAATATCATTAAACGGAATTGTTTAAAATCATATTTTTAAAACAATAGCTTCCGCCTCTTTACATGAGAAAAGTTATGAGGAAAATTTGGATGAGAAAAAACAAAGGATAATGATTCAGCTATTTGTCGACTTTAACCAAGTGTTTTAATACTGTTGACAATTAGATGTTGAATAATAGGGTTGTTGGATCTTTCTTGTTGTTGTCCGTTTGGTAAATCTTAATGGCGGTATAGTTATGATGCATAGTTAGTGCATTAAAATCACCTTATTTGCATACTATAATGAAATTAAAATTCGAATTATTCAAGAAAACTTAAAAATTAGAGATAAATCTGTGTATATAGGTAAATGTATCTATTCATAATATAATGAAAGGATTTAAGCATCTTTTTGTTACTCATTAGAAGTAGCCCTCTGAAAACCTATATGCGATAATAGAAAATATAAGATGGAAGGGCTTAGCTCATCAATGATGAACACTATTAGCTATTTCTCTCCTAATTATTCTCCATACCGCTCTACTATTGTATTGTATTGATGGCGCGTTATTGCTCAGTGTTAAAATGTATATATTTTCATGTTCTATTTTTTTTCCAATTTTATCAAGAGTTCCATGCAATTCTAACAGAGTTAAAGCAACTTTTTAATGAACAACAACAACAACACCTTTAGTAAGGACATTCGTCCCATACCGAATTATCCCAGATAGATAAACAGAAGTAAACATTGAAGTTATCTAAATAGTTCTGTAATATATAATATGTAAATATGGTTTTGACCAAGGACTTGGTTGTTGTTGTGTGATGTAATCAATATATAGCGTGAGATGTTTTTAGTTCTTATGATAATTCTGTAATAATATTATACAAATATATAACAGTAACATACAATCTCTTTTAATAGAAACTACACTACCTATTGGATATTAGGTAGAAGAGTACATAAGTTTAAAAGGTTTCTGGAGATGAGTTTATTTTTATTTTATTAAAGAAGTTTCAAGCTTTCGGGAATTTCTGTTCTTCTACAGGAGAACATAAATAAACGAATAAAACGCCGCTTGATGACAAACTATTACAAATCTATAGAAGTTATCTATAGAAAGTAGAGATAAACAATCAATCTTTCTTCAAGTTGGTTCCTTTTTCTGTGTTACGTCTATTGTCCGTGCTGTTCTCTAGAATTTGTGAAAACCCACAATGTATTGGTCCTACCTTTTACTACATTTACCAATAGAACCTATGACGAACTGTCTTCATAACCAATCTTTTAGCATAGAATTACTCTCTCATTCTGAAAAGCCGGACAGTAAAACATGTAGTGGGGAAAGTCGTGGCTGAATTCACCATTACACAGAGCGCTCTTCAATTTCTTCGATTTCAATAATAGAACATGATTATGTTTAAAGAGTGAAAATAGAATATTTATGGATAGTACATAGTATGGATAGTATATAGTACATGCCGGACAGTAAAACATGTATGGGGGAAAGTCCTGGCTGAATTCACCATTACACAGAGCGCTCTTTAATTTCTTCGATTTCAATAATAGAACATGATTATGTTTAAATAGTGAAAATAGAATATTTATAGATAGTACATAGTATGGATAGTATATAGTACATGCCGGACAGTAAAACATGTAGTGGGGAAATTCCTGGCAGAATTCACCATTACACAGAGCGCTCTTTAATTTCTTCGATTTCAATAATAGAACATGATTATGTTTAAATAGTGAAAATAGAATATTTATGGATAGTACATAGTATGGATAGTATATAGTACATGCCGGACAGTAAAACATGTATGGGGGAAAGTCCTGGCAGAATTCACCATTACACAGAGCGCTCTTTAATTTCTTCGATTTCAATAATAGAACATGATTATGTTTAAATAGTGAAAATAGAATATTTATAGATAGTACATAGTATGGATAGTATATAGTACATGCCGGACAGTAAAACATGTAGTGGGGAAATTCCTGGCAGAATTCACCATTACACAGAGCGCTCTTTAATTTCTTCGATTTCAATAATAGAACATGATTATGTTTAAATAGTGAAAATAGAATATTTATAGATAGTACATAGTATGGATAGTATATAGTACATGCCGGACAGTAAAACATGTCGTGTGGAAGTCCTGGCTGAATTCACCATTACACAGAGCGCTCTTTAATTTCTTCGATTTCAATAATAGAACATGATTATGTTTAAATAGTGAAAATAGAATATTTATAGATAGTACATAGTATGGATAGTATATAGTACATGCCGGACAGTAAAACATGTATGGGGGAAAGTCCTGGCAGAATTCACCATTACACAGAGCGCTCTTTAATTTCTTCGATTTCAATAATAGAACGTGATTATGTTTAAATAGTGAAAATAGAATATTTATAGATAGTACATAGTATGGATAGTATATAGTACATGCCGGACAGTAAAACATGTAGTGGGGAAATTCCTGGCAGAATTCACCATTACACAGAGCGCTCTTTAATTTCTTCGATTTCAATAATAGAACGTGATTATGTTTAAATAGTGAAAATAGAATATTTATAGATAGTACATAGTATGGATAGTATATAGTACATGCCGGACAGTAAAACATGTATGGGGGAAAGTCCTGGCAGAATTCACCATTACACAGAGCGCTCTTTAATTTCTTCGATTTCAATAATAGAACGTGATTATGTTTAAATAGTGAAAATAGAATATTTATAGATAGTACATAGTATGGATAGTATATAGTACATGCCGGACAGTAAAACATGTAGTGGGGAAATTCCTGGCAGAATTCACCATTACACAGAGCGCTCTTTAATTTCTTCGATTTCAATAATAGAACGTGATTATGTTTAAATAGTGAAAATAGAATATTTATAGATAGTACATAGTATGGATAGTATATAGTACATGCCGGACAGTAAAACATGTATGGGGGAAAGTCCTGGCAGAATTCACCATTACACAGAGCGCTCTTTAATTTCTTCGATTTCAATAATAGAACGTGATTATGTTTAAATAGTGAAAATAGAATATTTATAGATAGTACATAGTATGGATAGTATATAGTACATGCCGGACAGTAAAACATGTATGGGGGAAAGTCCTGGCAGAATTCACCATTACACAGAGCGCTCTTTAATTTCTTCGATTTCAATAATAGAACATGATTATGTTTAAATAGTGAAAATAGAATATTTATAGATAGTACATAGTATGGATAGTATATAGTACATGCCGGACAGTAAAACATGTATGGGGGAAATTCCTGGCAGAATTCACCATTACACAGAGCGCTCTTTAATTTCTTCGATTTCAATAATAGAACATGATTATGTTTAAATAGTGAAAATAGAATATTTATGGATAGTACATAGTATGGATAGTATATAGTACATGCCGGACAGTAAAACATGTATGGGGGAAAGTCCTGGCAGAATTCACCATTACACAGAGCGCTCTTTAATTTCTTCGATTTCAATAATAGAGCACGATTATGTTTAAATAGTGAAAAAAAGAAACTTCACTTGAACTTTTTAACGAATATTTTATAAATGTGCAGAGAATTGTGAGAAATGCTGTAAAGCCTCCATCTGAAGACTTCTTGGGGAAAACAAGGTTTTCACATCTTTCAAAATTGTTCAAATTGTTTAAATTCTAAGTTAAAAGAACAACCTTTAATAATAATATGTAAAAAATAGCACAAATGTGATATTTTATTGGGATAAGGTGCATAAATTATGAAAAATAAAAAAAGCATGATAAGTTGCACGATAGGGAGATGCTTTTTTTATTTTTAATAATTTTAATACTAAATTTTATTTTATTATTAATTATATAATTAAAAATTGTTGTTGTTTCTTATCCACTTGTGTAAATATTGCACAAAGTCCATGAGTTCATGCTCCTCGAGCTGTTTTATATAAGCAGCGGCCTCTCCCAAAGGTCCTGTTAAAAAAAGAGGAACACCCGGGTTTGAACCGGGAAACTCTCGATCTGCAGTTGAATGTTCTACCATTGAGCTATACCCTCAATAAACTTGTTAATAATGATAATAATCAAGAGTTTCAAATATAAATGTGTTAATAGATGAGCCAAGCCCTCTCATTCAATAACTCTTATCATTGCAGTAAGGTCTGTAGAGATAATATTTGATGATAATTAAAAGAAGCGCATTGCCAGTAAATTTATTTGTGTAAAATTTTAACGATAGATGGCAATTAAATTTAATTTACTAATATATATATAAATGTATACAATCTATTTGTGTGAGATATCATTTTAAAAATAGTTTTTGTCATTTTTGCTAAACAAATAGCCATATAAATACAAAATAATATTTGCGGAAGAGTATTCCTCGATATATTTATGTTTGTATAATTACATGTAAATAATTCTACAGAACTATAAGCCTATGTCCACAGATGTAACCTAAATACCCATAACCTGAGTTCTTGGAAAATGTACGGAATATAAGAAAACCAGTCCAATACAATAGTAAAGCGGTATGGAGAATAATTAGAAGAGAAATAGCTAATAGTGTTCATCATTGATGAGCTAAGCCCTTCCATCTTATATTTTCTATTATCGCATATAGGACTGTAGAGGGGTACTTCTAATAAGAATAAACATAGTCGGTGGATGAGAGGGTAACACGCTCGATTCCCGACAGTCATGAACCGGGATTGAATCCCGCGTTTAAATTTTGTTTAATATGTGAATAACCTTCATATATTATTCATTGTTTCAATTATCATGAACTAGGTTGCTCTTGCTGAGCGGTACCTATTAATGTTATTTTGAACCAATCTTCTAATAAGTAACAAAAAGAAACATAATAAATATATAATATTCTTTACGCGTATGATTCTTTTTAAAATTAAAAATTACTATCTTTACTGCAATGATAAAATAATTGAAGGGCCTGACTCATCAGTAGTAAACCCTCCCAGCGGTTTCGCCAGTTTAATCTATCAATACCTCTATAATATTGCATTGAGCTGTTTTCTGATAATATAGCTGTTTATTCTGATACTGAAGCTAAACTCTTGAAAAAGGTATTTTGATTGAACTATGGAGGTTTGAGAGAACAGTAGAAATACATTTGTTTAGAAATATGCTTCGAGCATTACTCTTCCCCAGAATTCGAGAAATTCTTTGCATTATATTAATAAGGAAAATAAGTATGTATGTGCCAAAATAGACGTTATAAAATATAATTTGACTTTTTCATAAATATAATTTCCATATCAACCTAAAATCTCTCTCTCTCTCTATATATATATATATATATATGCATTATTATAAATCAATCATTATTATTTTTATATAAGGAAATTATTATAATGAACTTAAGTATGTTATTCTGTGGTTATGAAATATTAAAAAATATATTTTTTGAAGCTTGGTGGCTATTATCAAACGATCATTTAGAATTTTATCTTCCATTAGAAAGTCCTTTCCGCCAAGGTCGTCTGCTTTCTTATTCAAGGTTGCTAGATTGACTGTTTAGTAGTGAAAAAATGCTTCCTCAAAGACTTTATTGTTGAGAGAACGAGCGAGGAAATAATCTTCAAAAAATCAACCCTCTATGTCTTTATAAACAATCTTCAAATTGGAATGATTTCATATGGTCGTCTAACAATGTCTGGAATCTTACTAAATGAATGCTATAGCCATATTGTTTTAACCCAAATTTAATATATTATTATTATCAGTATATAATAATGGTAATTACGATACAAATTATCAATATAACAACAATAAGGTTTAAAGAGACAAAGGTCCCCTCTCCCGTCAAAACAAGCCGCCATCTATTGACCGCCCTAGACTGACGAGGGCCATTGGACCGAAACCATGGTCTCTAGGTGGACGCTTCTCAGTTTGACAAAGCTGGTGTTGTGGCTTTGTCACCGACCCGAGGCCGCTAGTTTGCGGCGACGGTCAATAGATGGCGTCTAGTTTTGACGTCTATTTTGACGGGAGAGGCGACCTTTGTCTCTTTAGATCAATATCCTCCCGGCAAAATTTCCAACAATAAGGTTAGTAAAGATTCTTGTAAAATATGGTGATAAGGGACTTAATATTGATTTTAAAAAATTAAAACACAAATAGAGATTACGCGAGCGCGGGAATAATGAACTTTTTATCGTTATCTCTAAACAAAAGTATAACCATTATTTTTTGGCAATATGTGTAAATTATTATCAAATATACACTCAGGGACAAAACTTAAGGAAGTGAAAAGTCTTTGATGTCGTCGGTCGTCTGTTTTTTTTTTTTTTTTAAGGAGACAGAGGTTGTTCATACTTGATTATCTCGTGTGTCTTCAATAAAGGTCACTGTAATATCTTTCAGAATTATTGTCTCAATCCCGATATATATGGTAAAACTTCCTTGAGTTTTGTCAATGAGTGTATTTGTGAAATATAATATATTAGTGCGACATCTGTAGGGAAAATTAGATACTATTTAAAGCGATTTTTTTCTTTAAAATAAAACAATATCCTATTAGCCTTTTTTTTTTGCTTATCCCTAGTACACGTGGTACAGGCCATGATAATCATGATGGGTAGAAGTTGACGACTGTTTTTACTGTAAGTGCACCACATGTCTACACATGTGAAAAGCAGTTCGACTTTGTACTTACAAATGTGCCAGAGCCTCGTTTGGTTACTTGCACTCGCTGGTGGGGTTGGACTTTTGCAAGAATCGGGTGCCATTGGAGAATTTTCTTTTTAATCAGAAAAAAGTGCCCAATGCGGGAATCGAACCCGGGTCGTAGTGGTCGAAAACCAACGGTTTAGACCATCCTTCCACCGACCCCCTTTATTATCCTTTGCGAAAGAGCAATGCTCGAAGGCATGTATTCCTACTTGTCCTCAAAACTTATATCCATAGTTTACTTAAATATCTTTATCAGGAATTCCTTAAATTTGGCAGCTATAGAACTATCGAATACAATATTAGAACGGTCTCTGGTAGATTAAACTGGAAGGGTTCACCACTGATGAGCCAGGACCTGTCAATATTTTTCCAACGCAGTAAAAAGACAAAAGGTAGTTATGTTGAAGAGAAATTAAGACAAACTAAATAGTTTTATAAAGATAGAGGCTGCCTGGCCGGCATTCATAGTTCTTCAAATAAAAGACACTTCGGCCAGTAAATCTTTTTATTGTCTCGACGTTTCAACAAAAATCTTTTGTCCTCGTCAGGAGCGAACAAAAATCAAAACATTTGGCAAAGCGTTAGAAATTATTCTGAATAACGTTTTGCCACAAATGTTTTAATTTTTGTTCGCTCCTGACGAGGACAAAAGATTTTTGTTGAAACGTTGAGACAATAAAAATATTTACTGGCCGAAGTGTATTTTATTTGAAGAAACTAAATAATTTCAAATCTTCCATATTTAGTCCTTCATCTGTCTGACAGACGAAGTCTTGTTTGTCTTCTGCGGAAGTGACGTGGCAGTAAACATCCCATGTCACTGTAGCGCGGTATGGAGGACCCAATAGAAGGTAGAAGCTTCTAGAATGGAAGGATTCGCCTTGAGAGCTTTCTGGAGAATCAATCAAATAACTACTTTCTGTCTCTACCATTTCAAATTTCTTTCCTCCCACTTTTTCCATCTGTGTATCTCTCTCAGGAGAATGTACCTTCAAAATTCGAAACTATTTTAAAGGCGTAAGATTCTTTTGATATTAAACAATTTCTACTGCCCTTACTGCAATGGAAAAATTAATGAGAGGGCCCCTGGCTCATCAGTGGTGAACCCTCTCAGCGGTTTCGCCAGTTTAATCTACCATACGTAAGGGCAGTAGAAATTGTTTAATATCAAAAAGAATCGTACGCCTTTAAAATAGTTTCGAATTTTGATAACAGATGGCGCGCTAGTGCATAATAGAATCTACCTTATTTAAGAAATAAATGCTAATTGCAATTTTTTTTAAAGGTATAAAACTCCGCAACTCTTTTTTATTTATTTGATTAAAGAAAGTTTCCGGACAAACCCTTCTTCAGCTCTAACTAAGCCATTCCTGTTACATATTCGAGCTAGATGCTAAATTTATTACCCGATATTTCGGAGAGTCGCTCTTTTTCAAGGTGAAGAACTTGACATAAAACTTGGTGTTATACTTTCTATCTTGAAATGGGGAGACAGTTGTTGTATATATATTATTTAATTGTTCCACAGAGTGTGTGTAAGTTCACAGGTAAATAGGCGCTAACCGAACAAAAAAAAAGTTCCTTTGTTTCAATATTAGTTTCCCTTTTATATTTTGTTCTCTCTCTTGTAAATCAATAAATATAATGTTTAATTAATAATTATTGGAATCAGTTTCATTAAAAATATTCTAAACAAAGTCAACAACAGTAGGTAACTGGAACGTTGTACAATAAATTTTATGGTTGACAGGCCTCGACTTGATCTTTGTCCTCCTGCTTACAGTAATGGTCTTACTTTAAGTTGCATAGCCACCAATAGCAAGCTACAACATAGGTGTGTATCAATGTATACTCTGTACACGGATGTATCGCATGTTGTGAATGCTAAACAAGATACTACAGGTGTAACTATAATTGTTAGATTTTTATAGCAACGCGTAGCATTCGTTACTAAAACATTTTTCTACTACCTTTACTGCAGTGATTAAAGATATTAAAAGGGCTTGGCTCATCAGTGATAAATCCTTCCAGCAGTTTCGCCAATTTAATCTACCATACTATTATTGTATTGTGATATTTATCATTATACTGTAAGGGAAGTAGAAAATTGTTTAATTTGTTGTGTTCGTATCCAATCGGTTTTGTTCTACATTGGAAAATGGGTGCCGTTGCCACGTTAGCCATCTTGAACCAGAATTTGGTCAAATGCTCCAAGTATCCAGGGAGGACCTCAGGGAAGTATAATCGGACTTCTACCCTCCTTGTTTTATCTGAAAAGAAACAGGCACGCTATATATAGTTAACATTTCCGATAACATTCTCCATACCGCTCTACTATTGTATTTGACTGGTTTTCTTATACCGTA